ACCGTCACCCCCACCGTCACCCCCACCGTCCTTGGCCAGGCTGGTTGTAGAACATCATCTCCGAGAGGAGAGCAGCCACACTGCATCTTTCCCCAGGGTCGTGCTCTCTCGGTGACCGAGAGTCCGTGGGGGCCGCTGGACAGTGGATTTTGTCTGGGGGGAGGTCGGAGGGGAGGTCTCTGCATAGCTGGACCCTGTGAGGGACCCAGGTGTGTGCCGTGGTGGGCCCTTTGTCACATGAGTAACCTGGTCCTTCATGTGGTGAGCACACTCTGGGCTGCCCCCGCCGCTTGTCGGAGACGAGTCCAGGCGTCCGTTCACGTGGTCACTGCGCAGAGGCCACAGGGCATCACCACTGTCTACCGCCAGCGACTGTACAGCAGGGTACTGTGGGGCGGCTCCCCTGCGTCCTCCCCTTCCCCCCAAGCTGCAGACACTGGGCCCTGAGAACCAAGGGCAGGTCTGGCTATGCTCCCTGCTCCCACGTGCCCGCTCTCTGTGCTAGGATAGGGCCTGACTGCCCAGAGGGCAGCGTCCTCGCCGACCCGCCGGCAATGGCCCGGGAGACCCATGCCTGTGTTTTCTGCCCTAGGATTCTTCCCCGGGAGCTCTCAGGGCTGCGACGCCTTTCTGCGGCACAAGATGACCCTCATCTCGCCCATCATCCTGAAGAAGTACGGGATCCCCTTCAGCCGGGTGCGTACGGGGCAGGGCCTGCATGCCTATGGGTGGAGGGGTGCTGGGCCCAGGTGGCCACACGCACTCCAGGAGACAAGCTGCTTCACCCTGGAGAAGTTTCTAGAACAATGGCTAGCAAGCCAGAGGAGGGCCGAGTTAGCAGTTAGCCTCCAGCTCTTCCATGGGGGAGGGAGGGTGGCAGAGCTTGACTCTGGTGAGGTGTTAACCTTCCCTCCCAAGCCAAACCAAACCAAAACCTCCTCCTGGTTGTGGCCATCAGATACCCCTCTCCAGGGGCCTCAGGGATGGAAGGGCAGGGCGACCCCTGCTGGCCTGGCGGGAAGCTGCCAAAGGAACAGGGCAGGGTCTCCCACAGGTTCCTACCGCCCCAGGCCACACCCTCGGTCTCAGGCACCCCACGGTCCAAGTCACCGGCGGTGGTGAGAACTGCCTGTGTAAAGTGACTTACGGGGCGCTCCTGCCCTGTGCAGACTGTGAACTCACTCAGTGCACTGCTTCAGGGGCTGCTGCAATGGAGACCTGCAGCTGGGGGTGGGGTGTGTCTGGCTTGCAGAGGGCAGCAGGGCCCCCCGTACCCGAATTGATGGACAGCTGAAGTTTGGTGTCCCAGGAGCAGAGCAAGCTGTGCTCTTGGCCCAGCAACTGCACCTACTCGAGGTAGCTCCTTCCCCATGGAGAAGCCTTCGTGCACGGAAGAGGCTTGGCCCGTGTCCCCAGCTCTGCCCAGGCGAGAGGCGTGTGACTGGAACCTTCTAGGCAGGTCTGGGCTGCAGCCCTGGGTGCTGGGCAGGAGTGGGGAGCAGCTGGGGAGCCCAGCTCAGGAGGTGCCACGGGAAGAGTGATGTGCCGGCTTGTGAGCATGCTCTGTGGCGAGGCTCGAGTGTCAGCCAGCCAGAAGTTGCTTCTGACATTTCAATCAAACCACCAAAGCGTCAGCTCGCACAGCAGGGATCTGCTCTTCCTGGTGGGGCCGCAACCAGGAGGCTGCCTCCCAGCCGCCGCGGGCATTCATCAGACAGCGCTGATCTCGCTCGGAGAAGTGCGGGCTTCCGGCCTTTCCTCTTCTCCCCCGCCCTCTGGTTGGAACATCATTCATTACCAGCAAAATGAGACAGAACATGGCATTGCTCAGGGAAGTGAGAAGTACTGATTTTCCAGCTGCTTTGTCTAGAACCTTCTCTAAAGTGGTGCTTCCTGGAGGGGATGCTCACTGAAGATGTGGGCCACCCTGCAGGCAGCGGGTGGCCTTGGACCCCCGGGTCAGCATCTGTATCGTACTACAGTTTGTAAAGTCTCCGAACGTGACCCAGAAGTGGCTCACCCCTGGCCCCGGAGCGGCTGCTGGCGCCATGCATGGCAGCAGGCGGGATCCGGGCAGGGCAGCCACTCCGCCCCACCCTCCCCACCCCGGCCAGCCGCCTGGTGGGCCGGGTGCCAGTTTCTCCAGAGGCTGCCACGGTGAAGGCCCCTGTCCCACTGCAGCACGCAGCCCCTCAGCCACCCAGCCTGGGGACTGGCCTCCAGCCCCTCAGACACCACGGGCTCGAGATGAGCGTCCTTTTCGGAGAGCGGCATGTGTGGGTCCCCTCATCTGAATTCCTGGCAGCCTTCAAACCAGTGACTCCCCACACTCCACTTATAAATCGCTGTAATGGTATTTACTTCTAGGAGAAGAAGCCGATCAATAGCAGAGCTTTTTAATAATTAAAAGTGTGTATTTCTGTAATCTGCCATTGACTCCCTCATTTATTCTTCAAGAGCTCACAGAGGAAACTGCATTCCGGGCCTTTTCCATGCCTGGCATCTGGGGCTGCGTCTTGTCACTGCTGACGACTTTGCGGTGAAGCCTATTCATCATCCCAGCGCCTTCTAATTGATTGTCGGATAATATTGACAGCAGTGACACGGAGGACAGACGCCGTGGGTGCAGAATGAGGCCACCAGAACGCAGGTTTCCTCGCAGGAACGTCATCTTCTTGTCCTAACCAAGAGCGTTTCCTGTTCCAGGCCTTGGTTCACAGGAGGGGTCGGGCCGGGAGAATGAGGTCCTGACATCCCTGAGAGCCTGGCTCTCCGCCACCATCACCCCTGTTCGGGATTTGATCTTGGCATTCCGGGGGCCCAGTGGATTCCCGAAGGCTCTGAGTGTGATTCCTGCCTGCAGGTCGGGTTCTCTGCCATGTGCGAATGGGCCCATGGAAGAGACGGGGAGTGTCAGTTGGCCTTAGAGGAAGTGGTGGGGAGAAGTCTTTCCGAAGTCTGCTCAAATAGCATAAAGGAATCAGTAATGGCATTTACTTTAATTTTTTAAATTTTCTTTTTTTCCTCTAGAGATGGGGTCTCACTATGTTGTCCAGGCTGGTCTCAGGCTCCCGGGCTTACACATTCCTCCTGCCTTGGCCTTCCAAAATGCTAGGATTACAGATGTGAGCCACCGTGCCGGCCCAGTAATTACATTTTTTCAAAAAGGCCCAAATCTTAATTTTCTTTGGCCCTCATTTCCCGGAGCTCCGAGTGTAGTGGGGAGAAGCCCCCGGCCCAGGAACCCCTGCGCCCTGCACGGTGGGGGCGGGGCCTCAGGGGCGTGTGTGCTCCCCCCACCCCGATATTCTGCTGCATGCTCGCTCTGCTGCATGCGGCTGTCACTTTAAATTCACGTGAATTTAAAAATATAACTTAATGCACGCTGACTTCCCTTGATTGGTGCAATTAATTATTTGAAAAGAAAAATACCGTGTTCTTAAGGACTAGCGTTTTTCCAAGCTGCGTCGGCCCTGATGTCTGACGCTGTGGCTGGCTTCTGCAAGCCTCGCCAGTTCTGACGGCCTGTTGGTTACTTCAGCGTATTCAGTGATCTCTGTTCATCTTTCTGGAGGAATAAGTAATAATCAGCAGGTCTGAGAACTCCTACAAATCAAACGTAAGAAGAGAAACGCCCAGTGAATTCGGGGTGAGGGGCCTGAGCAGATGCTTTATGAAGGAGGTGCAGGAATGAAGGGCACCGTTGGGGCCCGGTGTCGGTAGAAGAGAGGCAGACAGCGAGGAGATGTGGCCAGCCGCAGGATGGCCACGTCAGAGCACCGCCGCCAAATGCCAGTGAGGAGGGGCAGCCGCACGGCGTTCACAGCCGGGCAGGTGCAGCATGGGGCCGCTGCCGTGGAAAGCTGCTCGGTGCTTTCTTGGAAACTGAAGCACATACCCTGTGCCCCAGCAGTGGTACTCTGCGTATTTACTCAGGAGAAATGAAAACATACGTCTACAGAAAGATTGGCACATCAGTGTTCTTAGCTTTCTTCACAAGAGCCCCCAGTGGGAAACAGCCGCACATCCATCAACCGGAGGATAAATAAATGACCTTAGATCCGCGCATGAGGTAGATAAATGACCACAGATCCACACACGACCGAGTCCTGTTTAGGAACGAAAAGGAGTGGCCGCCTGGTGCACACAACGGTGGGAACACATCTCAGAAATGCAAGCCAGTGGTAGACACCAGGCACGTGTCGCTGCCGTACAACACGTTCACTTGACCCTCTAGGAGGGAGCGAGGTCTCTGGTGACTGAGAGCGCGTGCGTGGTCAGGTGGGGGTGGCCTGGCGGAGGGCTGCGGGGTGGTGCCCGGGTGCCCAGCAAGGTCTGTTACTCTCTGGAGCCGTGGTTGCACCCAGAACTCTGAGCAGCCTGTAATCCGTGTGTTTTACTGGATGTTGAATAAAGGCGACGGGCCCACTTCACTTCGACACTCACTTCTAGTCCATGAGCCTCAGTTTCCACGTCTGCGGATTAGGCTTACAGCCCCACCTCTTAGAAACCTTTGGCCCGAGCCCTGGGGTATGGCAGGTGGGAGTGATGGCTCCAAGTTTGTCGTTGATCTTTCTGGATGGTCGTCTTTCAAAGGCTTTATTGACGGGCTTAGCAGTGAACAGAGAGTCGGGGGTCAGTGTGGTTATCTCAAGTGTCCCCAGAGTGGGGAGGGTTCCCAGGGCAGGAGGCTGCAGCCCGCTAGCACTGGTAGGCAGCCCTGCCTTTTTTTCCAGGCCTTGGGGTGGTTGTTGGGAAACCTTGGGTCTGTGGTCATTGTGGGCCCCACCCCAGCCACATGCACCTTGGTTCCCCAGTTTAGGGGGTCCTGGTTCAGAGAGCTGCGGAGCCTATTGGGCCGACCTTCAGAATCAGACCTGGATCTGGACGTGTTGGCCTCCTCTCCGGGGTGCTGATCTGTGGTGTTGGGTCCCGCCCCCAGCGTGCAGGTGTTTCTGGATCTCCATGACCTCGTGGAGCCCCCCTTGTTGGGATGCGATGGGAAGACGGCGTGGGATGGTAGCGTGTCTTGGGCCCCCTTCCCGGTGTGTGTTGCCTGTGCAGTGGGGGTTCCTTTCTCATGCGAGGGCAGCAGGCTGTCCTGGGCGCACGCCGCGTCTTGTCCTGGGAGCACTCTTGCCACCGCCAGCACCACCCACCTCGACCCCAGCCCCAGCTGCTTCAGGCCATGTCACAGTGACTGTGTGACTCAGCCACCTCCAAAGCAGGAGGCCCCCATCGCTCCCTGTGAAGGTCCAGCTGGAGGCACGCTCATGGGCATCACGTCCAGCTACGGCTCCATCTGCTGTTCTCCCGCCAGGGTGATGCTGATGGCCGCCTTGGGGCAGGGCAGGGGCTGCTGGGGTCTGGAGGGGCCCAGAGGAGCCGAATGCAGGCCACAGAGCTGTGGATGCGGCTGCTCGCTGTGTCCTTCATGAGCCTCGTGGGAAATGGAGCCTCTGGAGTCCTGTGGAGCCGCCTTTGACTTTGTGCAACCCCATGGGCTCGGAAGCCAGGCGCCCTGGCACTCACTGGGAAGTCCTCGAGCCCCATCTCTGCCCCCTGCAGCACTTCCAGTGGCCCTGCCCTCACCCGTCCACTTTCCCTCCACAGATCACGCAGGAGGCCGGGGAATTCATGATCACATTTCCCTACGGCTATCACGCCGGCTTCAATCACGGGTTCAACTGTGCAGAATCTACCAACTTTGCCACCCTTCGGTGGATTGATTACGGCAAAGTGGCCACTCAGGTAAGAGCTTGCGGCTAGGAACAGGACCCAGCAGGGCGGGAGGCGGCTCCTCTCTGCCTCTGCAGCCACACCCCCACAGCTTGTCCAGCAGCCGTTACGCTCAGCCCAGGGCCTGGGCTCTTGACCAGTGTCTGTCTCTAGGCTCCTCAGAGAGCTCTTGCCCAGAACGCTCCTCACCTTGAAGACTGGAGAGGAGCTGGGCGGGCCGGGTGGACGACAGTGGCCCAGGACCCTTTCTGGGACGTTCTATACACCAGCTACCCAGTGGCCTGCGTGGGCCTCCTGGGTGCGGCCCACTGCTCAGGTCTTGCAGTTGGGGTCTCTCCTCCGCTGGCACCATTGTCCCCCTCCTGGCTGGCCCCTGGGTGTCTCCTGGCCGTCGTGGTCCTGAGGATGGGTTGTTCGCTGACATTGCTCTCCTGGGGGCTGCTTGGCCGGGCAGGAGTGCACTCAGGCATCTGCCCTTATCCCTCTGTGCCTCCCTGTTGGTGGCAGCCCCCCCAGCTCCTCAGAGCCTGGCACTTCCTGCTGGCGGGGTCCCTGGAGGTCACAGTGAGCTTAGCCTGCCTGTGGGAGACTCGAAGTGAGTGGCCCTTGCTTGCTTTTTCTGGTGATTCTTGTTCCTGGTCTCAGAAGGCCGATTGTTGGACAGCGATTGTCATCTGAACCAAGCGCGTGTTCTCACCTTCTAACGCCATGTGCAGCCGTCTGTGTGGCTGCTGTTGACCATGTGGAGGGCATGGGAGGCTACTGGATGGATGGGAAGCCCATACGAGCCGCTGCTGGGCATGGATGGGATAGGGTTGCCTTGGCTGGCCACCCCTCCTCCATAGTCTCTGCCTTGGAGTCCCGGTGACGGGGACATGGAAGCCTTTACGAGCCCCAAGCCTCAGAAGGGGGAGTGTGGGACCCAGCAAGGAAGCAGCTAGGAGGCTGTCTGGGTGCCACAGGTCTATCCCTTTCCTGGCTGCCTTTCCGGGGCTGGGGGCCAGGGAGTGTCCTCCCAGGGCTGTCCCTGCAGTCCCCTGGGTGCCTTTCCTGGCTGCCCCCAAGGAAGACTGAGCTGTCCTGTCAGGCCAGGCTCGGCTGCGTGGCCCCAGCTCAGGGCTGCTGTTTCTGGGCAGCATTGAACAGCTCAGCTCCTCCTGACCCCTCTGTCTTTCCCACGGAGACAGCCCCAGCCTCAGCCCCTCCCTCTGGTTCAGGGGCCACATGGCTGCTCACGACGAAGCAGACGGGGGCATCCCCCGCCAAACCTGGCTGGCCAGAGTGAGAGCAGGTGCTTCCTCCCAGCGCCCCTCCCACTGTGGAGACTTCCAGTTCCTCCAGGCCAGGGTCAGCACAGACGGCGGACTCTTCTCAGATCCCGTCATGGGAGCAGGTGTGATGGGAGAGGCCACAGGGCCAGATCCGGAGTCTTCTGACTCTCCCAGCATTTTCTAGATGTCAGACCTTGGCTGGACGTGGTGGCTCATGCCTGTAATCCCAGCACTTTGAGAGGCCGGGGCAGGCAGATCACTTGAGGTTGGGAATTTGAGTCCAGCGTGGCCAACATGACAAAATCCCGTGTCTACTAAAAATACAAAAATTAGCCGGGCATAGTGGTACATGCCTGTAATCCCAGCTACAGGGGAGACTGAGGCACGAGAATCACTTGAACCTGGGAGGTGGAGGTTGCGGTGAGCTGAGATCATGCCATTGCACTTCAGCCTGGGCAACTAGAGCAAAACTCTGTCTCAAAAAAAAAAGTATATATATATGTATATGTATATACGTGTGTGTGTGTGTGTGTGTATCTATGTGCTTGTACGTACGTATGTGTATATCTCAATTTTATACGTATGTATGTATATATATATGTGTGTGCGTGTGTATATATATATGTATACGTGTGTATGTATATAGAATTAAGATGGTTTTTGGCCGGACATGGTGGCTTCACGCCTATAATCCCAGCGCTTTGGGAGGCTGAGGCGGGAGGATGGCTTGAGCCCAGGAGGTGAAGGCKGCAGTGAGCTATGATTGCACCACTGCACTCCATCCAGCGTGGGCAATAGAGTGAGGCCCTGTCTCAAATTAAAAAGATACAATGAATTTCGCCTGTTTCTTTTTACTTTTTCATTTTCCCTTTTACAGAGACAGGGTCTTGCCGTGTTGGCCCTGCGGTCCGGAACTCCTGGGCTCAGGTGATCCACCCATCTCGGCCTCCCAAAGTGCTGGGATTGCAGGCGTGAGCCACCGCGGCACGCCAGCTCTTTTTGCTTTTGTCACCTGGCTGCTGGGAAAATGGAAACAGCATAGGTGGCGAGAGTGACGTCGCTCCTGGCTGCGCTGGTCTGGACGAATGCGCTAACCTTTGTTTTTCTGGCTGTTTCTCTGCCTTCAGTTCAGTTTAGAAGAGCAGGACTTGCCAGCAGGAAAGACTTGAGAGTGCCCCCAGGACTCAGTTCCGAAAACCTCCGATGTCTCTAGTGAAGGCTCTGGGCTTGGGTAAAGGGAGAGAGACCCGAAAGGCGGGATTTCGGCTCTTTGATCTAAGGGAGTAGCTCAGTATCTCAGGGCTGTGGCTGTTTTGAGAGGCCGTGTATCTGTGTGTTTGTGCTCCTGAGGGGACGCTGCAGGTGTTATGACCAGCCCAGCAGCAGATTGAGCTGTAAGCCCCGGGCCCCAGGCTTGTCCTGGAAGTGCTGTCACAGCTGAAACTGCAGCAGGGCGGTGGGGACTGCCCAGATATTAAAAGCAATTTGGGGTTCAGCCATGTGTTCACAAACAAGTGACATTTGGAAAGTGCAGCCTTGGATTGGGCGCCACGCTTACATTGTCAGGTGGCGCAGCGTGAAATTGCTGAACCAGCGGCGTGCAGCGCAGAACACATCGGGTTCCAGGCGGGCGCCCAGGGCCTGGACTCGCTCCTGGAGCCCTCAGCCCCGCTGTGCCGGCCCATGCTCAGGTACCCCCTGGTGTAGTCAGGCTTGGCCTGGGCGGCGAGGGCCTCACTTGGAGTGTCATTAGCCACAAGGCCTCTGTGTCCATCTGGTGGGGTCGGGGACTCTCAGGCTTGTGGGCAGGGCAGCTGGTTCCTGACTGGCAGGTTTTCTGCTCCCATAAGCAGCCCGGGCTGGAGAGGCTGCCGGAGCGTCTCGCGCACAGATGACAGAGGAGCGTTTAAGGGCAGGGAAACGCTCCAGGTCGGGGCGTGGGGGTGCTTAGACCTTGTCCAGGTCTTATGTGCAGCCTGATTGGAGGGAAGGGGCAGCCCAGAAACCCCCTTTTCTGGCTTCCGGCGGGCCGGCCCTGCTCTCCATCCCATTTGCACTTTGGATCACTTTCTTTGGAGCACATTCTTTAAAAGAGAGCCGAGGAGGAGGCCTTCCTCCCCTCGCTTACAGGCGTTTTTGCTTGTTGGTTTATTCACCTTCTTTGACTCCCAGCGTCCCCGCGTCCCCCACCAGTTGCCCCCTTTTCTATCATTTTTGTACTCGGGAGCTGACAGATGAGAAGCCACCCCCCGCCCTGGCTGGGCCCTGCGCATTTTGGGTGTCTGTGTTCATGGGTTGGTGAGCTGGGGCTCAGATCTGCAGGCAACTTTATGCCTTCTGCAAGCTGAGCGGGAGGTTTACATCTTCAGAGGGTTGTGGTGGGAGGGCAGTTAAAAGGGTGTGTGACCTGTGACAGCCAGACCAAGCTGAGCCTCACTCCATAAACGAGCATCCCGTGTGTACAGCCACACCCAGGTGTGGAGGGGGCGTCTGCCTCCCCTTAGCCCTGCAGAGGCGAGTCGTTTGCACAGAGACGAGTCATTTGCACACAGAACTACCTGGCCCAAAAAGCCAAGAACCGCGTGCTGTGTGGCCTTGCAGAGGAAGCCTGTCACCCTCGGTCTGCAGAACCCAGGGCAGCGCATGGCCACTGGCCTCTCCTGCCAGCCTGGCTCCAGCCAGGTGGGGGCCGCCTGCAGGACAGCCACCTCCTCCCCCGGCCGGACCCAGGTCCTCTGTGGGCAGAGGGGCTGCTCCGAAAGCAGGTTGGCCCCCACCCCTCACCACACGTGAGCTGGTTGCAGCTGCCTCTGGAGTTCCAGATGGGCCTGCCGGCAGCTCCCGCCCTGAGCAAGCCAGGCCAGGGCCGTGGATGTGCTGTCACCTGCCTGCAGAACGTCCCTGGCTGCCCCACAGCAGGAAGGAGGCCCAGCCCACAGCCCAGGTCTGCCCCAACAGGCCAGAGGCTCCAAGGTTCTCCTGGCTGTAAAATCCCAGAGACATACAGTCTCCCGCAGCAGGTGGCTTACCTAGATAAAGCCTCAGACCAGGGCCCAGGTGCAGCTTCAAGGGTCCTGTCGACACCCACAGGAGGCAGGCCGGAGCTCTCCCCTCCCGCCCTCTGCAGCAGGGCCCGTGCCTGCCTGAGCTCCCGGGCAGGACAGAGCGGACCAGGCTGGTGCTGTGTCCCAAACATGGCCTCATCCCACTTCCCATTGCAGAACGCTGTGGGCGTGGAGGCCATTGTCCAGTGGGGGGTGGGATTTTTCCTCTCTAGCCAGTCTGTGGGCATTCACCCTCGCCACCTGTCCGTGCAGCAGGAGGCACAGCCAGTGCCCCTCAGGGCAGGAGGAGGCCTGGGGGCCCCGCCCTGTGCGTCTGTGTTGGGGAGGTATGGCTGTGTCCCCACTGCTGGCGTTCCACTCATCTCCTATGACACCTAGTGCCACGGACCTGCTCCCCTTGGGGCTGGTGACCTTTGGACCCCAGTGGTGACAACCGAAATGGTCTCCAGACATCACCCAGCATCCCTTGAAAGCAGGATCGGCACCAGTGAGAGCAGCTGCCCAGGGCTGCTGCGTTCGAGGTCAGGCCTTTCTCTTTAGGGGGTGGGGTAGGTAGCGCCACTGTAGTTCCCAGCTCCCTGCTGGCGAGGCGTCCTGGGCCCAGGTTTCCCGGGTGTCTCTTCTCCTGCCGCGCACCCCGTCTCTGAGTGTTCCATTTGACCTGCTCAGCTCTGCG